ATCCCTTTGAACTCCACCCCCATCACCCATCAAGCTCTGTGTTGAGCCTCGAACTACCCGCTCAACCCCAGTGGCCCTCATTTTGCCCACTTCCCCCTTCTTACCTTCTTACCTTACCTTATTCTTGCTAAGAGCATAAAGAATACAGATGGCATCCTTAAAGCAAATTAGGTAAAATTTATTTTACCTCTTACAATAACCTCTTTTGAAAAACAAATGGTGACTGCACTGAAAATAAGTAAGTAAACTGAGAGTATGAAAGATTTGTGGAAGTGAAGGTAGAGAACTTAAACATAACCTGCATAAACAAATGGGAGCACTTGCTAATACTGAAGTTGAATTCTGTTGAAAAAGTTGAAATGTTGTTATACCTTCAGTGTTACATTCTTTGTGTGGAAACATGTAATTTATTCAACACTTCTGTGTTCAAACTGCCTGCAGTTCAGATATTGCTGGCCAGTAGTCATTTATTCTGCTTCACACAGCTTGCAGGTGAGTGGGTTCATACAAAGCATTTTTACCCAGTCATACAGATTTATTTCAGTCTCATGCCCTACATCAGATTGTGAAGTAAGAAAAAATGCAAAAATATAACCTTTGGCTGAAAGAGAACGAATGATCTTTTGCTTTTCTTCCTTAGCAGTGGACAATCTCACTAATTCGGTCTGTGAATATAGCAGTGCCTTGGGCAATTTGTATACTTAGACTGCATGCTACTGATTTGCTTATGGTCTCAGGTTGCTCTGCCTTTGCTCATAGTTTGTAGGCTGAATTGGGAAGACAGGGAAGGTTACTGTGGCTGGGGCACAGGACTTGATCCCATGAATCTTCTGGGTTTTATAGGCTAGCTCATGAGGTGATTGACTGGTTGCATGATTGTTGTTCTGGCCTGGAAGCAGCAGGAACTGTAAGTGCTTGCAAGAGCACATATGCTTACGTATGTTCTGATGCCATTCCTCTCTCGCAGGAAGAAAATTCTGTGTAGCATCTTATTTAATCCTGTTTTGAAGGTATTTCAAGCCATGATTCATTTCACAAACTTAATTTTAATCTGGCATTTCTTTAAGTTTTTTTCCCCCAGAATAAGCTACTTCTAAGCCAGTCTCTCCAACAGCCTGTTTTTCTAGGGTACATATCAAGTAGCAGGAGAAATGCATTTAAGAGCTAATGACCCATTTGGGAGATTTTAGAAATTAGGTAATAATCAGTTGGAGGAGTGACAAGGCCAAGGCAAAGCCAAGGGAAGTTAATGTGCTAGGCTGCCATTACCCAAATGACACACTCCAGTGAAAGGATTGTTAATGCAATTGTAAGCCTTTTTTAATTAATGAAAAAATGTAAGGATTTTTATTTTTAGTGCTGCCAACTTTGAAAGACGCAGTTTCACTGATGTACAAGAACCAGATTTTCAGTAGTGCCACAATGAAAAGATTAGATTGCTCCACTTGAATCGATATTAGCAGCGTTCTTGGTACTGTAAAATACACTCTTCAATTTAAGGCCAGTGTTCTCAAGACCCTTTGTCAATGTAGTAGGATGGTTCATAACATACTGACAGCTGTCTATTATAATAGCTAATGTTCTCTTTTTCTGTATTCATTTTCATCCTAGAAGCTCTCCAGATGCTTTAGTAACTAGAAAAATAATTATTTTAATCTTGGAATTAAAAACAACAGGTATTTCACAGTATGCAGAACACCTTATGGTAGAATTGAGGTAAACAGTTAAAGATAGTGAATATATTTCTTCAGTTTCACTAAAATGGCAGTGCTTGGAAAATACACCTTGAGAAAATAGTGATCAGGACCTTTTGTTGAGTGGTCCCTTTTGTTACTTTCTGATGGGAACACCCAGCCTACTGGCTACTCTCATATTGCAGCAACCTCTCATGTCCAAAAAGCCATGTTCCAGTCCAGGTGTGAATTATTGTACATTCACTGTAAAAACCCCTCTCCCACTCCACCATGATTTTGATGTGTAGTCAAACTAGATGAACAAATGAAAGACTAAGGAAAGGAACAGTGATGGTCCCTTATTTTACAAAAAGGAAACAGGACAGGAAAAGCAAAATGATCAACACATTTTAACTTTGTGTGACCAGTAGAGAATGGTTCGTTATTCCTGTGGACAGCCACTATCATTGTGTATGTTAGAACTGTGCTAAAGAGCTGACATGCAGCCATGAGGAAAGTGGGAAGATCCCAGGAAGCCCAGACTCAGGGATAATGTAACTCAATGGGCTGGAGTTGGTACCTAGAGCAATTGTGTTGGTCTCTGTGGTTTGTTGTGAAGAAGGTAAATATCTAATCAATCAATGTAAATTAAATAACATCACTGGAAAGGAAAAATGTGAATTTTTGTTGTGCTATGTGTGATTCGTATTTTGCATCCTTAGTGGAGATAAGGAAAGAGCAGCCTTTGGTTACTGTTGATGTCACAGCAATGACTAATAATGAACTAAAGTCAACTAAAACAAAAGGAAAGTCAAAGGCTGAGGTTCTTCTGAACAAAGTGCTTTTTGCTAGCCTGGGGCATGGAACTAGTTCCTAAGGGAGGCAAGCTGACCTGCCCCCAGCACAGAAAGCTGGTGTGAAGCAGCTTATACCTAAAGGAGTGTGTCTGAATCAGGAGCTGAGTAATGCCTTAGTCTTTACCTACTTACTTGCAGGAAACGTCTCAGTGGATGAGGGCTCAAGGCAGTGTTTGATTCTTGCATAAATGCCAGATAGGCCATTCTAGCCCATAATCTTCACCACAAATCTAAAATATGTTCATTTTCAGGAACATGGGCAAAGCGATTTTTCCATGGCTAGGAAACTGTCCTCCATTTTTCCTGGGGAAGCTGGCAGCCCATGGTTTGTAGAGGTAAACATGGGTAAAGAACTGACTGGATGGCCAGGCCCAGATAGTGTTGATGAATGGAGTTATATCCAGCTGGTAATCAGTCACAAGTGATGTTCTCCAGGGGCCTGGGAGTCTCTCTGTACTGGAGCCTGTCCTGTTCAATATCTTTATTGATAGCCTGGATGAGGTTTTGGATTGAGTGCATCCTCAATAAGTTTGCAGATTACACCAATATGGGAGGAAGTGTCAGTCTTTCTGAGAATAGGAAAGCACTTCAGAGGAAAGTCTGAATAGCTGGGTTGAGGCCAATGGGATGAAGTTCAACAAGACTGAGTGCCAAGTCCTACACTTTGGCTACAGCAAGGCAATGCTACAGGCTAGGGGCAGAGTGGTTGGAGGACTCTGTAGAAGAAATGAACGTGGGGGTGCTGGTCAACACTCAGCTAAACATGATCCAGAAGTGTTCACAAGTGGTCGAGAAGGCCAATGGCAAACTGGTTTGTATCAGAATTAGTGCAGCCAGCAGGA